ATGAATGCCACTTATCAACCTATTAATTCTCTATTTCAAATTTTAAATATTATAAATTAATAACAATGGAATAAAAATTAAAATAAAATTAATACAAATTATAAGGTGAAATAATTCCACATATTTATTTAAATTAACGATTATAATTGATTAATAATTTTGTGTTATAACTATTAAAGTTTAATGAATTTTGTAGCCGTGGTTTCACGGGTTATAAACTATTAAACTAATAAACATGTCTAGCAAGAATCATGATCTAGATTAAACTCATATAAACAAGACAATTCAAATCAAACAATTTTCATGTAATTAGCCTAACCATTAAACTAATACAAAACATGAAACTTTTGACAATTATCTTTTTGAATTGGACTAGAATGATCATTACCACATAAAAAACAGGTTTATAAGTTAAAAACAACTTAGGGTAATGATTCTAGTCCAATTCCAGCCTTAAAACTTGAAAGTATGCTGTCAGAGGCTCCAACTCGTCGAGTGCATGAACAAAATCGACGAGTTGGATGAAATTACACATGGACTCGTCGAGTCACTCTATGGACTCGTTGAGTCTCCTGTCCAGACAGCAGACAAAGTCGATTTTCAAGCAACAACTTCAAGTATAATTGAAAACAGCCCTAGGCTCTAATACCACTTTTGGGTTTTGAGCATTCTAACACTCCTACGGTGTACATGCAACCTTATGTGATTTGGATCTATGTTTTCTCTATTATACATGCATATATTCAAAATTCCAAAGCATCATCCTAACTAGCATACAATGGAGTATCTATACTACAAAAGTCTAGTTAGATGACATACCTTTTGGTGAAGCTTGAAGTCTTGAACCTTTAAGAGCTTAGTGCCCCAAGTGTTGCACCTCAAATGTTTCACACAAAACCACCAAGAATTGGAATAACTTGAGAAGAAGAATACTTGCACCAAAAATCGGCTAGCCCTCTTTATGTATGCACCAGTGCTAATTTCATGAACTAGAGGGGTCCTTATATAGTGTGGCTTAATTAGGGTTACACCATGTAAACCCTAATGTGCATGACCTTCAATATTCTTCATGCTCCATGGGTTAAAACCTCTATGGAGTATCCATGGGTTACCACATAGGTTTAGCCCAACATGAAGAGTTATAGATCATAAACCCACATATATATAAGAATGAATGATTTACATAATCAATCCCCATATATTTAGTTAGTCTCTTTTGATCATTAAATTAATTCTTGATCAATACTAATTAAATAATATGATTTCTTAAGTATCCTTTTTCTTATATGTCTATCCAATTGTTCCAATGTCATGCAACCCAAATGGACCATGCTACTTTCGGTTCAAATACATATCAATTATAGTTATGGGCTTAGACGTCTAATCCAGCATTTCCGTGGGTGGATTTGGGTGCCCTATACAGGTGTGCACTTTACTTCTAGGTTCTGGAAGAAGTTTCAAGAGGAGTTAGGTACACGGTTTCATTTCAGTACCGCATACCACCCACAGACAGACGGACAGAGTGAGCAGATGATTCAGATGCTAGAGGATATGCTACGTGCATGTGTTATGGACTTCGAAGGGAGTCGGGACACCTAGTTGCCCTTGGCTGAGTTTTCTTACAACAACAGCTACCATTCCAGTATTGGTATGCCTCCCTTTGAGCTCTTATATGGAAGGAGGTGTTAGACTCCTATCTGTTGGGGAGAGGTAGGACAGCGAGTGATGGGTGGCACTGAGATAGTGCTAAAGATGACCAAGCTGATTCAGCAGGTCAGGCAGAGGTTACTGATAGCTCAGAGTCCCCACAAGAGTTATGCAGACTGGTGACGATCCGAGCTAGAGTTTTAGGTTGGAGATTTTGTCCTCCTGAAGGTATCCCCATGGAAAGGGGTGATCCAATTCAAGACACTTAGCAAGTTGGGCCCTAGATACATTGGTCCTTTCAGAGTGACTGCCAGAGTGCGTAAGGTAGCTTACCGGTTAGAGCTACCAGCAGAGTTAAGCCGGATCCATAACACCTTCCACGTGTTTCAGTTGAGGAAGTATGTAGCCGACGAGACGACAGTGGTACCATTAGAGGACATTCAGGTAGATGCGAGTCTAAATTACATAGAGAGGCCGATAGCGATCTTGGATCGGAAGGTGAAAGCTTTGAGGAATATAGAGGTGACCCTGGTTCAGGTTTAGTGGCAACATCGGAAGGGGTACGAGTGGACTTCGGAGCCAGAGTCCAAGATGCGCGAGCAGTATCCAGATTTATTTCTGGAGCATGACTTCGAGGGCAAAGTCCGATTCTAGTGGGGGAGAAGTGTATCATCCCGATTCCCAGGTATAATATTTATATATTATATTTACGAGTTAATTGAGTGACTTGACGAGTGAGTGCCTCAACTCATCAAGTAGAGTAGATTTAGCCATGTGGGTTTTACAACCAACTCAACGAGTCAGAGAGACCAACTCGACGAGTTGGCACTGTGAGTGGAAACTCTAATCTTCCGGGTTTGTGTCTTATTTAAAGGGCCTTAAGCCCTCATTTCTGCGTCACCAGCCATTCAACTCCCCTATATGAAACCCTAATCGATCATATTGACGAGAGAGAGAGAGAGAGAGAAAGAAAGAAAGAAAGAAAGAAAGAAAGAAAGAAAGAGAGAAATAGGCTAAATTGAGTGGTTTTGTGCATCTTTGGAAGGAGATTTGGACAGCTTGGCGTGTTTGATCAAGGATGGGCTGTAGATCCGGAGCTCTTCAGTGATTACCTTCAGTGCAAAGGTAAAAAGCTTCTATCTTGACCTTTCTTTTGTGAGATCATAGTTTAGGGAGGTTTAGGGTTTTCTCCCATCTATCTTGAGATAATGAGTTATTTTGAGCTATCATGAAGTTAAAACCTCATATCTGGACTGTAGTAGGACTTGAAAGCCCAAAGATCTGAGCTTTTTTTTGAGCTAGAGACTAGCTTTGTGCATTTAAGCCATGTTGGAGTTTATATTGACATTATGAGCCTAATATGCCATGCATAAACGTAAAGGCTTGTAGCTTTACGTGACATTCAAGCCTTGGGAGGCTAGATCTGGAGTTTGGGGTTACAGATCTACCTTAAAACGTCTGAATGAGAAAACAGAATGAATGGACTCGTCGAGTCAATGAGTTGACTCGACGAGTTGGCTAGGGTTTTCCCCGATAAGTCTGGACATGGGTAACTCGGCGAGTTGATGAGACAACTCGACGAGTTAAGTTGGGTTGTTGCGACATTTCTGAAGGAACAATGGGGACTCGACGAGTCATATAAATGCATTCGGCGAGTTGGATCAACATGGATTGTTGACTCGAGTGTTGACTTCTGTTGACTTTAGGGCTTCGGTCAAAATAGGGATTATGGGGACCATGGAGGGGTAAGATGGTCTTTTACCCATTCCAAGAGTTGAGAGAGAAAATAACTTAGTTTATTTAGATTCGTGATTAAGTGTTAATTAGAGATAGTTATCCTATTTGTTAGGTGTAGGCTAGTTCGGAGATTCGTGTACGAGATTATTTGCTTGCGTGCTTACGAGGTGAGTCTTCTCACTATACCTACCTAGAGTGGTAATCTTTGTGTGACCAGAGGGTCTTATGTGTTTATATTGAGTATTGTGATATCCTGCATTATGTCTTTGTGATTTATGTTGTGTATTATGCCGAGCTTACTGAGTTAGGACCGGAGGGTCCACCCGAGTTGTGGGACCGAAGGTTCCACTGAGACACATTGATCGGAGGGTCTTATTCAAGTATAGCCATGAGAGGCTAATGAGATATGTGTGATATTTTGGAACACTCAGTAAACTTTGTGCTTACCGTATTATATGTTTCAAGTATTTCTCCGGATCACGGGAAGGTACCGACTTGATTGTACATGATTGTAATCACTTCTCCTATTTCAATAGCCCTCCTCAAATACAACACAATCAACTCATTTTTTAAGAAATACAACAATAAATACAACTTAAGATGCTTATATCAACAAGAATTGAATCTCAAACCAAAAGAATTACCAATCGTAGGTTTTGAAAAATGAAATATTTTCATCGTTCTTATCATCTACCTATTACTCTTGACACTCTTAGAGCATCTCCAACCCATCCCCATTCTCAATTTTCCCTCATCTTTTTTCTCATTCTTCTCCAACCCTTTCCCATTTATTCCCCCATTTTAAAGGATATGAATAGTATTACACCAAATATGGTGTTATACTATTCATTTCTCCCAAAATGAGAGTGAACTTTATATTATCGGTTTTAATCCCTCTGTTATATATTTTTATATTTTTAGTTCATTTTTACCTACTAATTATAATTTAAATATAATATTTAATACTTTTAATATTTTGTTATATATTAAATTATATTAATTAATTATACATATAACATTTGTTTTTTGGTCATCAAATTAATATAAAAATTTAAATACATATTGAAATTTTAAAAAACGATAACGTATTTTACAAAAACTTATTATTAAAACATATATTACAATCATGATAACTTATTCTATTAAATTTGTAATTAACATATATGTTACAATAATAATCTAATAAAAACCAACAAGTGGCAATACTATTATTTATTTATTTAAAAGTGTGGATGTGTAATATTTTTATAAATGCTTGTATAATATTTAGTTATAAGTTTATTATAAATATAATCTTTTGTATTTAATATTAAGGTAATAAAAAAATATAGATTATATATTTGTTAAAATTAATTAGTAGAGAAGTGTGTTTGACAATCTATATAAATTGGAATAATAGAATATATACTAGAAATATACTTTTTGTGAATAAAAATAAAGTAAAAAATAAAATAAGGTTAGAGATAAAACACTATTTACTTCATTTTTTACTCCATTTTTAAAGGAAAAAATAGAAGTGGATTGGAGATTATCTTAAGCCCCAAATATCCAAATCAAGACATGACAAAACAAGTTATACATTAACACTAGGATTATTGTCAACAAGATTGAATGACCACCTAAAAAAGTATGACAAGAACTTGTTCTTAATCAAAAAGACATGAATACCACCCAAAAAAGTATCACAATCACGTATTCCGATTCTCTCATATGTGCGAAAAACATGAATACCCTTTTCACCATCACCATAAAAATTAGCTCCAAAAAGTTTATCCAATTGAATTTTGTCCAATCCCATCATACGCAAGTCAACAAATAGCATAATGTGGAAGTCAAAACAGATAATGTGTTATTAAGAAATATGTGCATAAAAGTCAACCCAATATACACAAACCAAAAAGAACAATATTTCTAGGATCAAATTTAAGAAACCTACAACATCAACATGGTTAACACTCAAACATTACCATATCATATCATATAACAATCAACACAAAGACAAACTCCTCTTCCAAATCCTCAAAATCTGTGATCATCTTCACCAAAGATGTTGCTACTACCTCTATACCTCACTTCCCTATCAGACTACACAACAAATAAAATTATTTCTTTTATGAAAAAAAAAAAAAAAAAAAAGAGAAAGAGAAAGAGAAAAAAAAGAGTCTTACACGATGGATGATTTCTTGAAATGCATCTGGACCATTTTCTTGAATGTATTTTTCAGCAGCAACTAAAATGTCATCTGGTTTACTGAATACATCTTTCTTTCTTGGAACATACCAAATGTTAATCGTTTGTTTTCCATTGTAAAAAGGTCGAACATATTGCTCATAAACATATGCAGCACCACTGAAGTATGGTATCACTAACCAGCATGTTACAATCAGCTTTGCGTATGACCAAAATGGGATCCTGATCATATTTAGCACCATTAAAAGACATTAAAGAAAGATATACCTTTAATAAAGTAATCTCAAGATTACATCTTTTCAAGTATTTGTAGAATACCAGATGAAGGAAATAGCATTTACCATTCAATGAGTTTAGCGAAAGTTAGCTCAAAGAGTGTAATCATGGAATACAAAACCCAATATGTAAGCCATTGTTGATCATCGACTGGAGATTTAGTCTCTATTGCTCTCACTGATGCATATCTGTTAAATTATGAATAGAAAAAGGAGTAAACCATATAATTAAAGCGATTTGAATGGTTGAAGTTGTTTAATGGAAGGAAATCCCGAATTAAACTTACAGAGGATATGCCAGACTAACCACCGGGCTGAAAGAAGAAATATACAAACCAAATCAGCTTCTATACAAGAATACAACATTTAGAGATGAAGAAATTATATATATTTACAACAAAGTAATAGTAGAGAGATAAATCTCCGAAAACCCTGAAAAACGGATAAATATGGATTTCAGTTAAGAACATAGTTATAGTTATAATAATATAAACTTGTAGAAACTAATGATTTGGACAGTTAATTAACGAAATCACACAATTTTTTTCCAAACAGAATCGTTAAAAAGTGTAGCCTAATCGCCAATTTTTTGTTCGATAACCTAAAGGAACTTCTTGCCCTAATTGAAACCGAAGTTAAAAGATGAGAAAAACTCCTATATATTAGCAGCGAGTAACACAAGTGCGCATCAATTAACAAGTTCCGAATTCAAATCTCCATTTCTATGTTTGAAGAATCGAGAGAGAGAGAGAGAGAGAGAGAGAGAGAGAGAGAAACCCGGCAAGAATGTCAAAGTTCTGAGCGATGAGCTTGAGTAAATTGCCAGCTCCAGATCCCATCTTCGATCAAAACCGCCAATCAATTTCTTTAAGGAAATCCGAATAGAGATGAATGCGAAGATTGGGGTTTGTAGAGTTCAGTTGTCAGAGAGAGAGAGAGAGGTAGAAGGACAAGTGTTGTTGAAGCAGCTAGAAAAGGCAACAAAAGAAGAAAAGGCTAATGGTAGGTACCATGCATTGGTGACTTGTACTGTACAACTAAATATTCTTTTATCCCATTTAATTGGTTAGAATGTCGACCATTATCAATGTATTTTTATTACTTTTACTACAGAAATCCGAATAATATATATGTATTTATTGAAGAAATCAAAACTCATCGAAAAGATAGGGTTCTAGTTCAACTTTATTGGTTGTTATAATGTTATTATTATTATTATTATTATTATTATTATTATTATTATTATTATTATTTTATTGAAATTGAAATTGAAGGTTAAGCACATTGCAACGTATATGGAATTACGAGTAATTAAAACTAGATTAGATATTATTGTTAAAAAAAAAATAAAAAGATATGCTATCATTTATGTTTTTTAATTATTTGGGAGTCAAAAGTTGATCCATATAGACTTAGAAAAATATAAATGACTTTTTTTTTTCCTATGAGGAGGTGAGATAAACATTATTAAACACGATTTTCCTAAAGGTTATATCATTTTATAAAGTAGAAACTGGAATTAGCAAAAGAGCATTTAGCATTTAGAAGATTTCAAGAGTGGGATCTTCTCTTAAACGTTCACATAGAATATTGGTTTGTTCACATTTGACGTGTTATTACTCCAACAAGTCTCAAACAGGAATCACAAAAACAGGATTTATAAATTATAATGGTCATAAATGTAGTTCTTGGGATTCTATAGGGGATTCATTAAGGTCCGGCATCTTTTGTACCGCACTCTTCAATTCACCAATCTGGATCTCTAGAGCACGAGTCTCGTATTCAAGCTCATTCTTCTCGGTTGTCACCTGTTCAACAAAGAAGTACAAGGTATTGTAAATCAACATATGACATGATAAAACAAATTGTATTATCTGTGTTATGTGTGATTAGAACATGTATCATGTATTACTGAGAGTGCACTGATATCAATCGACAAATGTTATAAAATTTTATATTACAACTAGAAAAGCTAGAAACAAGGTGGGGATAGAATGATGTGGAATGTAGTTTTTTTAATCAAGAATGCCTACACAAAAATCTTATAGGCCAAATTCCATAAACCCGATTTATTTTTTTAAACATATGGAATTTTTTTAGTTTAATCATCAAGAATTTATTATTTTTTGTTTCTCATGGTAACTAGTTGCAAAGTACTATCGGGAGAATATTTTTCTTGTTGGTAGTTGATTGTTGAAATCTAGAAATTGAAAGTTTGAACATTCATTTGTGTACAAGTGTTGTGCAAAAGTAGTCGAAGTCTTTTAAAAGATGTAAATACATAAAAGATTCTAAAATCTCTCAAATGTAATTGAAATATCTTTTAGATTATAAAGTTTTTTTGTTTAAAATAAAAGTTTTAAACATGTATTTCCATATGTAGCTATTTCTTAATTTCGGTTTTTGTTAAAAACCAAAAAATCTCAAAATACTTAGCCGTACATACCCTATAATGGTTTAATCATAAATAAAACTTCTTGAGGATAATAAGTTGAAATTATTTTCTAATACTATGGTTCTTATAAAAAAGAAGAGTATATTACATGAATGGTCTTCTATGGTTTGAGTTACTTAGTGTATTTGCTTCCTAAATCTTTCTTTTAACTTTGATAATTCCTAAATTATATTTTTGTTGCATCTTTGGTTCTTGACATACATAAAAAGACTATATTACCATTTATTTATTTTATATTTTTATTATTTTACTTTTTATCATTAATTTTGATTTTATAATAAGATTAATGCATAGACCCACCCATCTACATCACCTTCTTTCTCCTTATCCCTCCTTCCCTCTCTCACTTTCTCTCTCCCAATCTCGCCCTTTTACATGTGACTATCGCCCCCACATCTTCATTGTCTTCTTCCTCACAGTAGTATTTACAAAAGCCCAACATTCCACCATTGAAATGCAAAAATGATGAATCGATCCATGTACACCCATTTCTTCCCAATTATCTCTTTTCCATATCAATTAAGAACAACAACTTCAATTATCAAAGAAAGGAATAATCACAAATTTTACTATCACACGTTTGAGCATTTACATTCATATCTTCGATCAATGGATTTCGGTGTTCCTCCTCCATCCTTATCACATTAATCTCCATAGCCACCATCACAATTCATTTCTATGAGATTTGACCATAACTTGGCTATCATCCCCTTTGATTACTTAAGTGTCTCTTTCAATGGCAAAGTTGAACTCAATGTCTCCAAACTATCCTTCTCGACAATAGCCATAAAATCATTTTGTTAAGCCTTGTTCATCATATTGGTTCTTTGTGTGTTTGTGTGTGGTTTTGGTAATCTTTTTTGTTGACCCCTATTCACCATATATGTTCTTCGAGGTTTTTTCACCCAGATTCAATAATAGGGAAAACCCTTATTCGTATTTAAATATGAAACTTGAAATCCATTGCATATCTAAACAGTCCATCTTCAAAATGAACAAAAATAAATGATTTGCGGGATCTAACTTCTAACCATTTTAGAGTTTAGGGTGCAATTCCATATTCGAATAACAATTGTAGGATGCTAAGTTCTTGGTAATCTTTTTTGTTGACCACTTTTGTTCACCCAAATTCAATAATAGGGAAAAACCTTGTTCGTATTTAAACATGAAACTTGAAATCCATTGCATATCTAAACAGTCCATCTTCAAAAAGAACAAAAATAAACGATTTGCATGATCTAACTTCTAACCATTTTAGAGTTTAGGGTACAATTCCATATTCGAATAACAATTTTAGGGTAGTAAGTTCTAACCATTCCATATTGCATCTTTTGGTCCGGTAAATAAGTACAATCATAACATGTTAGGGAAGATGACTCTAGGTGAAGAAGATGTTAGTAGCGGATTGGTTTTTTGTTGATGGAGATGTTAGAAGGGTGATATATGATATTAGGTTGGGAGCACTCCGTTTAATATTATTAGAAATTTAAAATAAGTAGTAAAAAGGTTTTTTAAAACAAAAATTAGAAAGGATAAGATAGACATTTTAGGTCTCTCAAGGACTAAAAACACAATAAAAACATAGTTTAAAGACCGAACGTGCAAACTACTCAAAACCACAAGTACTATTTTTGTAATTTATTTTAGAAAGAAACATAGTTTATTCATGGTTTTTCTTCTGACTAAAATATATATCCGGTGGCTAATTGTTAAACCGGTTTTATTTTTATATAAAAAAAATGTTATGTCTTTTTTTGAAAAAAAAAAAGTTGTAGGTCAAAAAAAGGAAAAAAAAAGTCAAAATATAGAATCTATGGAAATAACACTATTTAAAAGTCTTACATATTGTGATTCAGATAATAAAGTTGCATTCTCTTCTTTGAGTCGCGTAATTTGATCAATCATCCGTTTGAAAATCCCGGTGGCTTCATCCAAGATAAAGGCCTTACCATTGTTTTCCTCTCTAATTTCTAAAAGAATATTCAAATTCAACTGTTGGGCAAAAAAAAAAAAAAAATACAATATGAACAAAAAATGAGTAAAAATTTGATTACCAAGTGCATTAGATAAACCGAGAAATAGCTCATTCAAATGCTCACGCTTCATTTTCTCCCTTTTAGCTCTGCTAATAGTTATATTGGGAACTTTATTCGGATTAGTAATCTTCTTGCAAGGGAGCAAGCTGCATATACATCATCCGCTAATATTAAGTCTTTTTTAAATGCATTTGGTTGTGAAATTTTAGGATTTTATGATGATGAGTGTCTAACACAACATATATATATATATATATATATATATATATATATATATATATATAATAATATATATATATATATATATATATTATATATATAATATTTCAAGATAATACTAATTACTTTAAGGGTAATATACATGATCAAGGCGACTATATTTCGGCCATCTTATGGTTTAACCATTAATTTTATTTTGATTAATGAAAACCATTTTT